CGCAGTGCAACCATACCTGTATTAAATATAACATTGTAATATTGTACCCAACTATAGTATAATATGGCGGCTATTTCTGAATGGCCAAACGTCCTGTCATAGTCCTATATACTTAATACGATATTATACAATAATATTATATTCAATGGCTTTTATAATACATATACCTAGCTCATAATAAATTATGATCTATAATATATAACTATGTACAAGACAGAAGTTTTAGAAATCTATGAGTATACTGTACAGTGTACATATGGCTTTGATTTTTATAAAATTATATTTGAACGGTCATTTTAGCCCTTTTTAAATTTAATACTTTTGTCCACAGCTGTAGCTGTAAAGTTACTGAACAAACATTAAAAGGAATATTTTGTTAGCAATACTAACTTAATATTATTGTTAATATGAATATATTAACAATTAACATAATAAAACTGCCGATTTTTGGGTGGCGTTAACCAAATAACTTGCAATGGTTGGTGAGTGGTGATAAATCTCTAATCAATCACTGATACTATATTGTATATTTGTATATTAGGAAGCTAAAACTTTAACATGAATAAATTATTATTCAGGGGTCATTGAAATTTCCAAATTACAATCTCGCGGGTGACAAAAAAATTCATACCTACCTGTTACATAGAATTTCGTTAAATGGAATTATATAAAATAGGTTCTCAAAAATGTTCCGTTAAACAAAAATTTTTGTTAAATTGACGTTTTGCTGTTCCTTATTCATATTTTGATTTACTATAAAGTCTAAAAAGTTATACAAGTAGGTAATAGTATATTATATGTATAATATAGGGTGTAGGTATCACGAAGTTCAGACATATGTATAGGTACCATATGGACACATTATGGACCATATGTCATAATTTCGTGATACATCCTATATAATATTTATATATACCTAATAACTCCGTAATCAGCTTGACGTTTTTTTATTAAATTCCGTAAATGATGTTTGAATTATTATTATTAATAATTAGTTAGGTATATAGACACAATATTTCAGATCCCCCAGTATTATAATTTTTAAATTACAATTTAGTAATTTAACGTGCATCGTACATGCGAAATACGAATGAAATGTAGGAATAAAGAAAAAATAAGTCTGTACTTATTTCGGCCATTTTATGTTATTGTATACAGGGACAAGAGACCGAATTACAATATTAAACTTAACTGCTAAAACGTAATTGAATCATTTTAAATAGGTACTTTCTATCAAAAGGTTTTTTTTCAAAGTCATTGACTAAAATTTAAAAGTGATCGTTTTGTTTTTAGAATTTCTTAAGGTAGTATAAGCGTCTATGTATATTATTTTAAACTTTAAAACTATGAATATTAACAACCTGTTATCTAGAAAATAGTTTACTAGTGTCTAGTGCTCATACACCTTACACAATATTATTATATTTCCTACGAATTAGAAAAATTATAGAAGTAATGTTACCTATTTCAGCAATAACTAGTCCAACAATTGTACTTCTTTTACAATCATGAATCAGACAGGATCATCCTCATCCCCACAAATGTCGTCACTGGTTATAATAGGTCTATTATTGGTACAATAATATGTACGTCGCTGAACGAAATCTGTACACCTACTAAGGCTTTATAATATGTAAATGATAATATAAATAAAAAAAATCTATAATATGCTCTATTAGATATAATATTTATTATATAGGTCTCTAATTCCCGCTACTTAGAATATACCATATACCTAAAAGGTATATGATCATAGATTTATAAAATATGAGAACAATGGATGTTTGAAAATTGTAATAAATAATAATCTATCAACATATTTTGTAATTTATAAAAAATGGTCAAAGGTATATGTAATAAATAGGTAGGTGCCTACTTATATAGATTTAATATTACATATTTATTATTTACATATAATTTATATTCGTGTAAAATTACGAAAACCATTAAACCATTTTAATAACTGAGAAACTATATCTACTAGTACGAATACCTGCTGATTTAGCTAAACCAACATTTTCAAAAAAAAATATATATACCCAATTATAATAATATACAGGTACAGGAAAAGGGGGAATCTTCTCATTTGGTAAACAGAAGTTGGTATCGTCACAAGGCATTCCTGAAATAGAACACAAGTTCTCAAGAATTTTGAAAATATAGTTTTTAAATAGTTATAGCGGTATTAAATATAATAGGTAGGGGGGGTAACAGACATGACGATGCTTACTTTTTACTACATTACTCTATGACACGTACCTACCTATACTGTGTATACTATAAACAGGAATATTAAGTAGGAACCTACTTAAATGCGTGTGTAATTGTTACAGATTTTATTTTATTATTTACAAATTATAGGTAAACCCAGTGCCGTATTTCCCAGTAATCACTATAAACTAGTGCTTAGGGCGGCAAATAATTTTTAATATTACATTTTTACTATATGTAACTAGAACTAAAATAAAATGAAACTAATTATAAAATATTTTTAGACCAACGGGATTGTGGTAATATTTATATTTTATGTTTTCCAATTTCATACCTAATCGTAGAGTTGTATGTTTTTATTTTTCATCATTAAAATTTTAAGCAAAAAATAAAAAACTATAATTGTATGCTTTAATAACATTTTTTAGACTAGAAAAATATTTATATTAAAAGGCGGCAAATTATTTAGTGCTTAAAGCGGTACAATGGTTAAATCCGGCACTGGGTAAACCTATTTAATATCAGTTTTAAATTGTAATACCATTTTATCTGGGCATGCAAGTACCACGCCTATACAAATTTTTAATATTGAATAATAATAATTTATTTTGAATAACATACATCATAAGTGTAACGTATTCATAACAAGATGGTAAAATAACCATTCTTCATCTGATTAATCGTAAATTAATTATTTAAGTATTCTCAACAAGACTGGGTATATAGCAGCTTTAGTGTTATGTTGTATCTAGGATTTTTCAGAGGGGGGAGGGGAACTACAATATTTTATTGTCAGGGCTAGGGTACACCGGATTTTTACATTAAAATAAGTTTGATGCTACGAATATATGGTGTTTCAGTACCCCTAGCTACGACACAGGTATATAGTAACTATATAGATGGTAAATCTCTTTTCTATGCACCTATATCCAATTTTAGTCTTTACTGAATCTGTAAGATGACATCAGATGTGTGTTTAATACTTTAATAGTGCAGTCTATAAAATATACATCTGTCTAGACCCTACAGTTCTATATAGACCGAACAATTTATGAATGGAAGTATGGAATCACTAATCAGTAACCTTATTAGTTGTACTTAGTACAACTCGAAAAATTTAGAAGTTAGAACTATTTTTTTTTTGTTTTGTATATTACAAGGTCTACGCCACTATGCCTGATATATGGTATTGGCTATGTATATATTTATCTTAGTTCATTGCTGAGTAATAAGAAATAACATTAAAATGGTAATATTATTATTATTATACTCAATGGTAATAATAACCATAAATCAGAATATTATTATTAATATTATTCTTATAATATAGTTATCTCTATGGGTACAAATCAATTATTATGTTCATGGTACAAAATATGTACAATATTTTTTGTACCGTACCGAATGAATGAGATAACACTAACAAAGATACGTGTCAATGGGTATTATGATTATCGTGAAATCGACGATGATAACACCGATTGGATAACAAATAATTCCAACACGTACCTACATTTCATATTTTCATTCTTTTTAAACATTTTAAATACATTTATTGTACCAATAGTAGTATAAATACCCTTGGAATTTACATTGTGCTTACATTCTTCGAGTGATTATTTTGCTTCTAAATATGGTTTTGTTAACTATGATAGCTAGAATTCCTGACGGATTACCATTAGCTGCATCTATGCAAGATGACGAACAGGTATTTTTTTGAGAACTGTTTAAAATATATTATTATGAATTAGTTTGGTTAATAGTTTGTTGAAAATAAATAATGTTACAATTTTTAATCAATTTCATTTCTCATATAGGTCGGAAGAAAATTAATTGAATATCAAAATCAAGCAAAACTTCTTTTCAAAAAATTAAACTTTCAGTCTCCAAAACAGTGCACAATTGAATCTGTACCTTACTACTTTCAGTAAGTATTATGCAAATATAATTTATCAATTTTCAAATCTCAATACTATGATATGAAATATTTTAGCTATTTAATTGAAAGAGATGTTTGTTACTTGGTATTGTGTGAAAAAAACTTCTCAAAACGTTCTGCATTCAGTTTTCTGGAAGACATAGCAGCTGAATTCAATAAGCTGTATGGACGACAAGTATCAACAGTTTCACGGCCTTACACTCTTATTGAATTTGGTAATTTATTGTGATTTTATGTATCCAAGTACTGTCAACTCTTTGTAACTTTTAAATTTAATGCAGATTAAAGAAATTTAAATTATTTGGAGTTGATTACTTGACTTTACTTATATTATTATCTTTATTGAAATCTTACAATTTTTTTTAAATACCCATATTAATATGTTATAACCTGTTAATAAAAATATTAGTTAAACATTTTGATCATTTTAGATAATTATATTCAAAAAGCAAAGAAAAATTATATAGATTCTAGAGTACGAAGAAATCTAAATTCATTAAATAATGAACTTCAAGATGTACAAAGAATAATGGTTCAAAATATTGATGATGTATTACAAAGAGGCACTGTCTTATCAGGTAATATATTTTTAGTCTACTTTTTCTTACAATTAGATGAATTAGGTATATGTCTGATAATAAATAATAAAAATTAATTCAAAAGATGGTTTTGATTAGTGAATATTGGCAGGGGTTTGAAGTAAGTATTGTGAAAAGAAAAAAAAATTTTTTTCAAAAAGGAAATATAATTAAAAATATGTATAAATTAAACTTAAATTTTTTCCATAATAATGTCATATTGAAACATATTTTATCAATTTAATATTGTGAAAGCATATAATCAATGTACATAATATAATAATAATAATATAATTATATCAATTATATACTCATGACAATTTTACAAGAATCTGCATTTAAAAATTTTAAACTGTTGTATCCTGAACTACATTACAATTAATTTGGCATTTGATTTATGTTTTTTATTAACTCTGTATATTCGAGTAATTATTTGTGTTTGTCTGTTTAAATCCAATGTTCAGCACTTCTTATCTTGATTTGATTTATATAAAAAATGTAGACTGTAGAATTCTGTTCATTAATTTCATTATTGCAATCTATATAACAAACCATTGTTTTTAAATTAGTTTATAGTCCATAGAAATAAATAGTAACAGTAACTTAATTTAAAAATAATTTAAATTTATATATTGTAGGAATAATAAATTAATATTAATAAATGCATGTTATACTTTATTCAAAAATAAACATGAAATATTTGTATTTTTTTTTTCAGAACTTGATACAAAAGCCCAAAACTTATCAATATTATCAAAAAAATATAAAAAAGAAGCTACCAATCTCAACCTAAAGTCAATGTATATAAAACTTACCGCTGCAGCAGTTTTTGTTATTTTATTATTTTTATATTTTTATGTTCTATAAATAATAACTCATAAGTAATTTATTAAATACTAAATAGTGTAATGGCTGAGGGGGGAAAACTTTATACCTATTACAATAAATAAATAACAATTTTAAGAACCTACTCTTTATTTATAATTTGATGTATAATATTCTTCTTCGAGTTCATACAATTCTGTTGACATATCATCAACTAGACTTGTTAGTTTGCGATCGCATTCCACTTGTTTGGTGCGAAAAAGTTTTGAATTTTGAGCAATAGCTTCATTGACTGATGGGAAATCATTTAATATAAGATATTGCTTCATATCTGAAACTAGTTTCAAAAGCGACTCCCCAGCACGAACAATGTTGGCTGCTCTGACTTCCATTTCAAATGCTATTAATTCGCTTCGGGTAGCTTTAGAAATTTGTGTTTGATCATCATCAGTCTTGCACAGTTTTACAATACCTAAAAATATGAAATAAATTCTATAAATTATATTGTATTTGGTTTTATATTTCTAAAAAGCAGTTACTTTATAGATACAACACTAAAATAAATAAAATAATACACACAAATAATTCAAGGTGAAGCAGAAGGTTGATCAGTCTATTACTATACTCTGTTCAAAAAAAGATAATTACCCGGAGGCGACCAATTTCCATTGGGCAGCGCTCAGGCGCATGTTAGACACTTTCCCTACCAATTTGAAGCCCAAGACCAATGCTTTGGAACAAAGCCATGCCCATGAACACAATTTGGCTGCCGGGTAATGATCTTATTTTGACCAGAGTATACTTAAAATATGTACTTATTAAAAAAGTTATCCCGCGAGGATTTACACATTGTGATATATCCTGAGATAATAAATATATTTTATTTTTTCATTTCTGAAACAGTTGAAGATAATATCCGTTTTGCAGAGTTTATTTTTCATTAATTTCATGAATTTTAATCATTTTTTTAGTTTATACTTTTATAGGTATAATGGCAAAAAAATGGTTTTTGTAAGGGCGGCGAGTTCCTCTCTAATGCTAATGAGTATATCTTCACGGAATACCCTCTATTACACATAAATTATTATTAATTGCTTTTAAATTTGATTGATTAAACTAATTTTTGGCAAAAACTAATGCATATTTGCATATAAGTCAGTATCATAGAATGATAATTATTAAAAATAAACTTTTTGGTTTAACAATTTTAAAATGCAATTGATACTCAATTGTTAGTATGTAATGGTGGAAGTCTGCAATAAGCTCGTAAACTCTGAATAAGAGCAACAACATTTCGAAAATTATATCATGTTTAAAAACAGCTTATAGTTAGCAGTTATCCCAATTATTAAGAATGATGCATTGTATAAAATCCTATAAGTAATTGGTTAAAAAGTCCAAGCACATTTTTAGGTTCGAAAAACAAAATATTTTACTAAATTTTCATTAAAAAAATGTAATTAATTATCTTATTCAATATTAATATATTATGTTTAATTACTTATTCCTTATACTTATTATACAAAATAATAGTCAGTATAAAAGTAAGATAACATAAACCTTTTAGCTTTTATAAATATAGTAAAATTATTAAAATTATAATAATACTGAAAAATATTTAAAAGCCAAAATGTTTTGATAATTATTAATAAAAATGAAATAGAATATTTTGTCTTACAATAAAACAAATGAGTCTGGACTTATTGTTTAACTTTTTACAAAGTGGACTTCTTGTCAGAGATTTCGCCTGAGTACAATGCTAAAAGAAACCACATCATTATTGAAAATAGGAGGAGCAAGTCTTCTGGACCAAAATATCATTTAACCAATATTTAAAATAACCATAAATAATAAAATGTCCTTCTCCATGATATTATCTGTATTAAGATAAATTATAGTTATACAATCAATTTGCAGCAAACAATAAAAAGAAATATAGATAATAATATCGACTTTTAATTGAAGATTTTTTATCAAACTAAAATGGATTTTTAGTTGCGCATATAACTTACCTTCAAAATTTTCCAGCATACATTTCACATCACTTTTTAACCGGTTTGTATAAGACTTGGTGACAGACATTGCATATATATTTATTTATTTATATTATATTGACATATATTTTTAATTAAACACCTACAACAGATAACATACAATTATAACTAATTAATTAAGCTTTTAAGGAACAAAACTAAAACAAATTTAACATATTTGGGAACTAATAATACAAATGAATAATGTCAATAATTTTAAAATTTATAAAATCTAATTACAATGTATCTCCTATAGTATTAATATTTAATACAGCATAACAATAAATTGTAATGTCTGATGTCTAAATTAAAGAGTGTAAATTATTAAAGATTTAATTTATTTGGTTTATTAATTATTGGATGATTAATAAAATTTAATATAGTAATCAATAATCATTATTATAATATTAAATGCATTGCTTGTAATTAATCATAACAATGTGTTGATAATATTATCACAAGTATTATCAGAGAATTTGAAGCGTTAGGGTCTATTCGTCCATGATAATAAATTGTTACTTTACTTTTTCTTCTATGAGTTAAGAGCACACACAACACACTACACAGCGCTGTCTGGAGTTTTGGAGGTATGTCAATATAACCTATAATTTACAAATGTTCTTCTTGAACCGAAGTGTCTACAAGGTTCGTCCATTCATTTTCTTTTGCGATTATTCGCATTTATATCCTCGTTTATCTGGTTGATCGTTTGGTTTTTTGTCATCATGGCTCCAAAGAAGGTAGTTGTACTATATTTTAAGTATAAATATACCCTCGTAGTTTTAAACTATTTATCATTGCTTTTATTTCATATGTACATGATCTAAGACCCGAATCTGCGTCCAGAACATTTATTATTTAGATTACTAAACAGCTTCACTACTCTGATATTCATATCATTTTTATTCAACTTTTATATTTCAAATATAAATAACAATCTGATACTTTGTAAATTATTAGTACACTAACATGACTTTTCATTCCAGCCGAGCTCCAGTAAAAAGGTCGGAAAGAAAGCGAAGATCGCCCCAGCACCTCTCGTCAGTGAGAAACCAAAAAAGGTTCTTAAACAGAAGGTTGTTAACCCTTTGTTTGAAAAAAGACCCAGGAACTTCGGAATTGGTAAGTTTATTTTATTTTTGATTATTTATTATTTATTTTAAGGCCCCTAAATTATCCAGACAGGTATAAAATATAAATATTTGAGTACCAATGAAAAAATATTTAATCGCAATGATGCTTGAATTTCTTCACCTGAATAAAATGAATTCTACTTGGTAGTTTTATTTAAAGTAATGCTGTAACTGACATACTGAGCGAAATTGGATTTTAACTTTATATATTATTCATTATAACTCAACTCTAATGTACCCATTGTTTCTATTAGAATATAGTTTGTTTAGATAATTGTATTGGGATAAGTGGAGGAACCCGTCTTATTTTGTTATGCTTTAAATTTGTATTTTTACTTGGAGAAACTGAAAATTATTATGGTAGGGTTTAAGTTCAATATTTTAAATATCTATACAATTATGTTAAAATAAGTTAATTTATAAAATACATTAACTTTGGCCATGATGCTTGAATTTCTTCAACGGAACTTTTCATACAATTAAAGTATGTTTAGAGTAATGTTGAAAATGACATTCTGAGCTTGTATGTATTTAAATTTTTGAATGATGAGTTTTATTGATTGATTTACAATGATAATCAAATACACATTACGAGCTTTTTAACTCTGACAAATTGTTTGTTTTTTTGGTAATGGCTATTATTGATCAAAGATTTAAAATTAATTTTCTAATGTTGACAAGTTAACTGCTGGTCGATATTGAATACAGATGTGTTTATGCGGTAGGACTTAAAAATATGTTTTTATGAAATAATAGGTACGTTTTAAAGTGAT